TGCATAGAAAGATGTCATCTTTGTTGGTGTAATTGCCCGCTCTTCCTTTCGGCGCGTCGACAATGCCCTCACCCTCCTCGTCCACCTCAAACTCATGGTCTTCGAAATGGATGTCATTGGTTTGAGACCAATGCATATTGTTGGAGCCAACACCCATAGTTGATATGTATGCATCATCGTTGAGACTACAAAGTTTTTTGAACAATGCAAATAAGCTATCTATATGATGCATTGAAAAAATAACAAGAAAATAAAAGTTAGATTTTTTTTACCTTGGGGGCATTTCGTCAAACACGTGGTGCGCGTCGGCGGCCGGCTCAACGAGTGAGCTCGCCGGTGCTTCGGTAGCCGCCGCGCCCATCAAACGCCCTGCAAGCTTCTTTCCTCTCGCCTTCGAGTTACCGGAGCCGTCCGCCGCCTTGTTCTTCTTCGCGGATGTCTTGCCCTTCTTCGGCCGCGCCGCATTGGGGAGCTTCGAGGGGGCGGCGGCGGCACGGGCCGGCGCCGGCACGATGCCACCCGTCGCCGTGGTCATCCGCGGCGGCAAGAAGAGGCTGCGCGTGAGGCCGATGCTCGGCGGAGCTCCGGCGGTGGCGACGCCAACGCTCCCCACGCTAGGGTTTCCGGCGGCGGCGGCGGCGATGGGGGAGGGGTCGCGGCTGTACAATGGGGTGAGCGGGGTGACGGCGCGCGCGGGGCGTAGGAGGCAGAGAGGAGAGAGTGCGGCGCGAGCGCTCGAGTGTGCCGCGCGCGGAAGCGGGCGCCCCAAATACACCGCGCGAGATAGCGAATCCGACCGCGCGCCCAACTCCTTATAGCGCGCGCGGTTATTGCGCGCCCGCTGGAGCCACCCGCCAGGTTGCGCGCGCGCTAAAATGGCCTAATTTGCGGCGCGGCGCTTGTTTAGTGCGTCTGTTGGAGATGCTCTAAAGTTTGTATCTTCTTTCTGTACTCATGGTAATCGGTCATGTAATATGGTAGCTCATGTTCTGGCAAAATCATCGGAAAATGATCCTGGGTCATGCTGGCTAGTTTAACGAAGTTTCTGAGATAATCAGGACCATTGTATGTAATCAACAATCTCTGTTTGTATAAATGAAGCTGCCATTTGATCGCGTGTACAGTTTGTAGAGAAGCCCGACTTCCCTTTCACTCGCCCACGCCATCGTAGTGATTGACACGGCTGGTAGCAGCATCAGAGAAATCTTGCTTGTCTTGTGCCCGTTGACGTTTGTGTACCACGATTTTAGTGCATCCTTCATTCACACTGCGCGGGCAACAGAAGTTGCTCTACACTCAGGTCTCAGATCATGTCTGCCATCACAAACGGGGAGTCGACATCAATCTCACCGCGTGCCCCGACCCGCACAGCGATCGCATCCACTTCGTTGGAGAGTGAGCGGTACATGGCCCTGGCGTGCGTCAACACGGCACGCAGGTCACACGTTACATCCAGAGCGACAGCATTCCGCCGGGATCGCGTCTGCGCGCCCGTCGCCGCCGCGCTCACCGGCCGGTGCGGCGGGCTCCGCGGCCACGCACGGCCCGGCCGAGACGAGGGTTTCACGGCCGTTTCTCCCCGCACCTTCACGATGACCAGCTGGGGATGGCAAAACTTGGGAGCTTGGACCCTACATACGGTTTTGCGTCTTCTTCCCACACGGCAGCGGTGTCTGCCCAGCGCAAGGAAGGCTTGCCGACAGAGGTGAGGTGAAACGGCTGCCCGGGCAGTTTTTGGACGAGCCGGGAAGTAGGCGGATCTCAGGGCTTCTTGGTGGCATGGGTCTCACGGAACTCTCCAAAAATACATGCGATTTATTATTGCCTTTGCCATAACTAGCATATTCCCCCCAAAAGAGAAGAGGTAATATCTATATCTTCCGTTGGTTCGCTTGAGAATTTTGTTACATGTAAATGCATTTCAGGAAACAGCGTTGCTCAAAACTGCAACTTTTTTTCCAGAAAAGTGTACTTATAGTAAAAGAAACACTTGAAACTAGCGCTGCAATTTTTGGAACCGACTCGGATGGTATAAGAAAATCAACCTCGGCCGAGTTAAATGTAGATGGGCCGTTATATATCTTACTATGCTAGTTGTTTAATTGTCCAAGTCAATGTAAACCATGTTTTTGATGAGATTGTTATGTTGCCGGCGTTGTACTAAATAGTTGGTGATATTTATTGCAACGATTGTGTATGTGTGTGTCATGAATGACACCCTTGATGATATAATCCAATATTTGCTACAGCAAGGGGAAAAATTGAGTGCCCATCTGTGAGTCTTTTATGACTTGATTAGGTTTCCAAATTAAGACACAAGTCTTTGATTCTCGCCACATTTCAGAAAAGGGTGGCTTTAGCATAGTTTAGGATACTGGATATAGCAACTTATTTTCCAGAAAAAGTGTATCTTAGTAAAAAAAGAAAGAACTTGAGGTTGTGTGTTTCACTAAATTGACGTTCCATCTTTTAGAATCAGACTTGGATATAAGAAAAAACCAATCCCAATCAACTTAATGTGGATGGACCCATATATCTTAGGGCTTACGCTAGCTGCTTAATTGTCTAAGTCAATGTGAACCATTTTTGGGCGAGATTGTTATGTTGTCAGTGTCGTAGTAAATAGTTGGTGATACTTATAGCAACATTTGAATAGTACGTGTGATGAATGGCACCCTTTGATATAACCCGAAATCTATTGCAGCAAGACAAAATTGAGTTCCCACCTGTGAGTCAAGTGTGATTTGATTAGCTCGTCAAATCAAGATACACGACTTTTCTCCACTGCCTCCTTCAATCCAAAAAACTTGGTTGCTCTATCGCCCTAACACACTTCTTTCCTTCTTCTCGAACCATCTCTAGCACTGAAACCCCACGTGTCATTGGCGTAGAGACCTAGACGGGCCTCTCCTTATCCATTTTCCTCCGTTATGATATAATGTCTTCTTTCTCATAGCCCGACGCCCTTACCTTCTCCCATTCTATTGTCGGTTGTGGTTGCTGAATCAGCACCACCTCTTTGCCACAACCTCTCGTTGTCATTTTCATAGTCTTAGCATTGATCAACGCGCCAGCTCATCCCAGCCCCACTCCATCGCATCCTACTTGAACCACCACCAGCAGTGAAAAACCACTAACCGTTATTATAAGTCCAGGTGGCGTATGGACCTTACACCCCGAAGAACACTAACCTTAAACCCCAGCTATCATCGGTGAATATGTCACGACTTCCGGAGAAAACCAAGGCGATATCAACAACCTATATCACGAATCAAGAGGATTCCAAAGAAAAATGTTATAACAATATACAATACACACGCCCATGTTTGATTCGTAATCACATCATTACAATACACAAGCAGTTAAATAATTTATAAGCTTTCTAACCTGCCTTGTTCCCCCCTCTCCCTATTCCGCCCTCTCCCTCTCCCTCCGCATTTCATGTCCTCCTTCCGCTTTTCTCCTACAGGTTTTTGCATGAAAGTTGTCTCAATTGCCCCACGTCTTATCGGTTTGAGTTTTATTTGATAAGTCAGCAAGCAAATTAAATTGCCAACTATTTTTGATACGTAACAATATAAAAAGATTCAACAAGCACATACATCCATTTTTGACCCGTAATCACATAATTACAATACACGAACAGTTAGTTATCTACTACTCCGTCCCATAATATACGATGTTTTTGACACTATCATAAAAAAACGTCTTACATTATTGCATGGAGGAAGTAGCTTTTTCGAGTCCAGAGGGTCGCCCTTTTCTGAACCGAAACAAAACGTTTTCCTACCCTAGCCGCCACCAGGAGGCGACTAGGGAGGCGATCTCTTTTTCCACCGATCTCCACTGCGAGGGCGATGGCCCCCTCTCCTCCGGCTGCTGCTCCGGCGGCAGGAGGAAGGGGGGACCTGTTCCTCCGCTTTGTAGTTATGGTTTGGATTTGTAGGTCGTGGTGCGCCGTTGGGGTGGTGGGAGCGGCGCCCGGACGAATAAATCCGCCTCAACTTCCCTCCCACACCGGCGGTGCCCTTCATGGCGGCGTCTCGGAGTTGATGGCATCTTGTGTTTGTCGATCTTTCAGATCGGCGGCGTTAAGGTTCATGGATGGTGTCGGCGAGGCGGCGGCGGTGGCGACTCCATCAGGTGTGTCTCTCCTATTGCTCCGTCCCCATTGTTGCGGCGTTGTCTTCGACGTCATAGTGGAGCAGGGAGGTTTTGTCATCCAAGAGTACGCGCAGACGCTTGTGTATGCAAGTGACAGCTGAAAGATGGTGCATCTTGTGCTGGGTCTATGATTGGAGGCTGGTAGTTCTAGTTTCCTCCTCCGACGCCGTAGTCATGCGGGGGTGTCAGTTCTGAAGTTTGATGGCGTGTCCGGGGACACGTTCCTCCAGTCTGATTCTTTCAAGGGCAATGATTTTGTTTCAGGCAAACTACTTTGAAGGTCCGTAAAGCTGCTGATCAGTATGGAGCCGCCTCGAGCTGGGATGAAGAGGTGATCTGCCTTTTTTTAGTGGAGAGGGATATGCGCTGGGTTTTTCATAGGATTATCCTATCTTTCCAGTCCTGTAATGTCGATGTTTACGTGGCTTGTAAGCGAATTTTTATTTTATTAACAAGACATGTATTACTAGAAAAAAAAGTTCGCCCCTTTTGCATAACTTGCTCTTTGCCTGCCCCTAAATCAGTCGGGGGGTCGGGATCCCCAGATACGTGCAATAGCTTGGCTTGACTTCTCCTTTCGCCGTCTCTGTTTTCCAGCTCCTCATGCACCTCACGCCGCTGCCTTTAAAGCCAACCGCACCCTCCCAGACCAATTTCCACTGCGTCCCTCTCGGCTCAAGCCCCCCGCTCGCCACAGCTAGGCCCCTTCCACCTCTCGCCCGCCCGGCCGCCCCTCGCCGCGCGCGCGCTCCCCGAGCCACCATTCCGCCCTCCAAGAACCGCCGGAGCGACGCAAGACAGGCGGGCCAGTCGCGCCCGCGTGCGCCGGCGCAGCCATGGCGCGTTCTTGCTCCTGCGCCCTCCGCCTCCTCTTCTTGGCGTCCCTGCTCCTCCTCTGCTCCGCCCCGCCGCCGCCACCGCCACCGCCAGGACGCGGGAGCGCGAGCCCCGCGGAGCTGACGGCCGCCGACGAGGCGGTCCTCGCCAGGATGTGCAACCCGCGCGCTGGCCCGCGCCCGGCGTGGTGCGAGGAGCTGCACCTGATCAGGCGGCGCGCCCTGAGGGGAGGCGCGCGGCACCGCCACGGCGGCCACCACCGCCACCACCACCAGCAGGGCGCGCCCGCGGTGCCGCTGCCCCCGCCGGGCCGCGACGAGGTCGACATGCGCTACGGAGTCTCCAAGCGGCGCGTCCCCACGGGCCCCAACCCGCTGCACAACTGAGGCGGGCCGGCGACGACGGCGGGGTCAGTTCTTGCTTTCTTGGACGGATCACCGGCAGGCGGCCGACTGGGTTCTTCAGCGAGGAAAGGATCGATCGTCCTCTCTTGTTCCTGCTTTCCGCGGCGGCGCACCCGCTCGACTGCCCGGCCGGAAAGGACTTACAATGGAGGATCGATCGATCGACGCCTGCCTGCTTGCTCATACATCTCTGCGTGCCAGTAACATAGATATAGCATATGTATAGGCCAGTTCTTCTTCTTCTTCTTCCTCCTCGGAATTCTTGGTTCTTTCGTGTCATTTTTGCTCTAGTCTTGTAGCATAATTTCGCCGTTACCCGGCTCGCGCCATCAATCAATGCAAAGGAAGAAAAAACCGCAAGTTTTTGCGCCGCCGCCGACGTGACGTCCGCTCGATTGTCAATTTCTCACTGTGGCTGACGGCGTGGACACCGGCGCGACGCCATGCCATTATTTTTCTTCTCTTTCACACGTATCCGTTCCGTTCCGTTCTTAAACAGAAAGAAAATGAGGTCAGGCTTGGCGTGCCCTGTATCTGACCACCAGAAGACGAGGTCATCCGTGGCAGCGTTTTGCACTGTGCGCTCTCATTGCCACGGCCGCGGACGGCGTCGGCGGACGGCGGTCGGCGGCCGGGCCGCGCCGCTGGGGTTTAATGTGCGCTGCCCCTCCCTGTGACGGCGAGGCAAGGTTGGAGGAGGTTTAATGGCGCACCACCGTCTGTCTGCCTCCGTCTCGGCCTTGCGTTGCGTGGCATTAATTTCGCTCGCTCGTGGTTAATTTCGATCTGCATTGCGAAGTTACAGTGGAGTAATTTTGACTTGTGATGATGACTTCATTCTGCCTTGTGGCCGTGGTAACTAACTTAACTACCTGGCCTGGGTCTGACAGGGATACGGACACGCAGTGAGGCCTCTGACTTTGTGAGTAGGACAGGTCACGAGTACTACTGTAACTACTAACTACTGTGCCCACGTGTAGTGGTGCTACACCGCTACCGTTTTCAGATGTGAAAACGTTACACATACGTGCATTAGAGAGAGACCAACATTTCTCCGTCGCATTGCCATTGCATTTTTTTTGAAGTTACATTGCCATTGCATTTACCCGTACGTGCTGTCTTCGGTGCCAACTGCCAAGGCTCCATCTTTCCTTAAATGGGACATTTATTACCGGCGACCTCCTGCGTCAACAGATGATGCATATTCTCTCTAAAAAAAACAGATGATGCATATAGATCCGCTTAAAAAAAAACAGATGATGCATGTAGATTGGCGAGATAGCCAAATAATTCATGTTTATTAAAAACTCGAAAGCTAAACGTTGAGGTTGAGCCCATCAACAAAAGTGAAAACCGGAGTAGTACCAGCCCACTTTCTAGCCATGAACCGAAAATGATGTACACGTACGTCTTACAACAACTGATGTACTTCCCCTCAGGATTGTGTGAAAAAAAAATTCCCCTCAGGGAAAAAAACTGATGTACTGCTACGTGGTACAACAAGGCTGACTGCGGTACACATGATAGGGTACTCAACAAGCGGCAAACCAACCTGTGGTTGGATGGAGGGACAGGGGTATCCCGAGTCCCACCAGGGTTCAAGTCCTTTCAGGATTTCCGGCGATGCGCTTTCAGTGGAAGGAGACGTTTCCATCGACGGTGAGGCGCCTACGGTGACTTCGTAAATTTCGAGATGATATGCCGGCTCAGTCTCACGAAGGTGCTCATAAGGGTAGGGTGTGTGTGTGCGCGCGTTCATAGAGGTGAGTGTATGCACGTACTTACGAGCGCTTGCGTCTGTGTTAGGAAAAACAAGCGATGTACGTACGCGCTTGCGTCTGTGTTAGAAAAAACAAGCGATGTACGTACGTACGTACGTGCTGGTTAATGAGGTAACTGTCTGCCGCGTGAACGTGGTGCATTGCAGCTCCCGTGTACTTCACTTCACTCCGCGTGTGCCGGCTCATGGAGGCAGCCCCCGTGCATTTACTCAGCGGAAACTGGATCGGTCGGGCCGCGGAGTAACTCCCGACCGACCGTGCATATCATCCCAATCTTGTGCCGTCGCAGCAGTTCACTCGTCCGTGCCCTCCGCCCGGGGGCCGGCCAACGAAAATGTGTACTGTCAACTGCAACAAGATGCACACAATGGCAAATGTTTCACTGTATCCTGGCCGATCCTAGCTTTCGGATCACAAATTTCTATTGAAAACTGTAACCATTTCGTCGTACTACTATATAATCTAGGTAGTAACTAACTCTATACACGCATTCTGCAACAATGTGGATAAATCATCTATTACAGCAGCAGCCAGTGACATTTCATTTCTTGACAAAACTATGCACAGCGCAGCGGTTTCTGCGGTACGTATCATCGCTTCCTTCCGGAGACGGTCTTCTTGACTGCGCCGACGGAGACCAGGAAGTCGTCGAGCGACGAGAGGGTCTTCATGTCGTCCGGCGGGAAGTAGCTGGCCGCCTTGCCCATGAGCGAGGCGAAGATGAGGGGCAGGCCGGGCGACGCGGCGGGGCGGTCCGGGAGGAACTCGTCGAGGAAGGCGAAGGCGGCCAGGAAGTCGGACCGGCTCGCGTTGATTGGGGCGGCGAAGTGCGCCGGGATGATCCGTCGGAACGGCCAGTCCGCCGCGATCCTGTCCACCCAGTCCCTCACCTGCACAAGAAGCAGGTGATGCTATTTAGCAGGAAAGTCCAGTGTAAAAAGGAGTGCATCCACATGCATACCTTCTCCGGAACTTTGCTGAAGACGAGTGTCTTGACAATTGGTGAAACGATCAGTTTCTGTGACATTTGAGCGAAACTCGCATTTGGCTCGAGAAGATTTGAGGGGCCGAGAAACAGTATTTGAAGTACCATCCTCTCCCATCCTGTTGGAACATAGACCAGGTTACTGTAACAATATCGATATTGTCAATTCGAATATGCAATGCGATAGGTACATCTGGTTTGGGGCTCGTTAAATTCTTTTCCTAAAAACCAACAAAAGCTCATCCTTCCTGGCGGTGTAGCTATTTGCTGGACAATCTGGAGAACTAGAAATACATCTTTCTATGATGACATGCCGATGGATAAAATCCCACAAGTGAACTCTGCTTTTTCTAAAAAAACTGATTATGATGCTTTTGTGGCTGTATTTGGTTGTTTACATGCTGTGTGATGATGCTACGATGTTAGAGCCTTCGTACTGCCAAAGGAATCGCTGAACACAAAAGATTGTCATCTAACAGCATTCAGATACAGAAAGCCCTAAGCAACAGGAATCGCTGAAGACAGAGATTGACAGAATGTCATCTAACAGCATTCAGATACAGAAAGCCCTAAGCAATAGAACACCACAGAGATACTGGCAAAAGGACCTTCCTACTTAATATTGCTACCTTTTAAATTCGAAGAGGCTAACCGAAGTTAATAAGTGAACATGGACAAGTTTCTGCACTAACATTTTTCTGAGCCCTAGATGGAAATCAATCTAGTGTTCTACTACAGTACAACAAGAAAGCCCTAGATGGAAATCAATCCAGTGTTCTACTACAGTACCTTATTTAAAACATGAACTCTGCATTTTACAAATTCCAGATACTTAATGTATGATTCTGAATAGAGGTACTTCCACAACTATAGTCCAGTTAAAACGCTAGACTACTGAATGTTGCTCCTTCTCAAAATGTGGAAAAACTAACTGAAATACGTGAATATAGACAATTTTCTGAAGACACTTCTCTGAATCTAGTGGAAAACAATGCAGCTAGTGTGCTACTGCACTACCTCAATTCTAACATGAACTCAAGATCTCACTGTTTCCAGCTAATTCTTGTTTCACTTTATGTCAATTAGTTCAGAAATGGCATCAGATTGTATGTACCTGTCTGCCGGGTCAGCTTGTTGTCCTCAACGGATCATCAGGAACCTCTCTCCCTTTGCTCAATATCTTCACTGCCAAGCCATTCTTGGCAGCTGCCAACAAGGACTCTTTGCTGATGCAATCGGGTGGCTGCCGAGGAACAAAAATCACAGCATCCGTCACCAGCAATGTCCTGGAAGGCTTATGGTAGAACGCCACCTCCACATACGGCCCAATCCCTGAACGCACCCAATTTACACGGGAATTATCATGTGTGCATCAATGCACCCACAATGGTGTTCAGAGATGAGAATGCGCAGTGAGGAACTGGGAATACCAACTTCCGGCGAGCTGAGCACCTTCTGCTCGATCTCGGCGGCCCAGGGCGTGGCGTCGTCCTCGTCCTCGAGGGGCTTGGACCGGAAGACCCCGAAGAACTCGAGCGGCAGGTTGACGGGCCAGCTCCACTGGCGCGGCGCCACCCACACCTGCGCCCTGGGGAACTTCCTGGAGAAGGGCCCGAGGAAGATCTTGTGCTCGTACGCGAAGGTCGGCAGCACGATGTGCTCCACCGGCGCGCCCAGCTCCTTGATCAGCTGCACATGGCATGGCATCGGATTAATGTCGAACAGGAGCCGCGCGAACGGTTGCTTCCTTTGCTGAAACTGAAGCGTACCTGGATGCATTCCTTGGTGGGGGCGATGGGGGCGTGCACCCAGAGCCCGCCGGAGCGGAGCCTGACGACGGTCATGCGGGTGTTGGTGGAGACGCTGCTGAAGCCCAGCGCCTGCTCCTGCTCGAACAGCCATACGCTGCCCTTCACGGCCTGCATTCGGAGAGGAGTTTTCAGACTTCGGAGAGGGAACGCAGTGAGGCCATGAGCTCGGGGAGCAGCAGGCTGAGGTGCAGCTGCTAGCAATCACCTCGGTGCGGGTGGTGCGGCGGTTGAGGAAGGGGCCGAGCGGGAAGGGGAAGCCGGTGAAGTTGAAGTAGAACCGCGAAGACGACGGCGACGAGGCGCTGCTGGCTTCGTCGGCGGCGGAGGCCGAGACGGAGAGGCGCGGCCTGCGGAGGGCGTGGGGCGGCGCGGCGTGGTGGCGGCGGCAGGGCGTGCAAGGATGCC